CGGCGTCCGAGGCGTTCCGGGGCAGCGGCAGGTTACAGATGCTGCCCTCGCAGCAGGACGTGCACACCTGGGAAAACGGGAATGAGGGAAACACCGCTGCATTTGGGAACAGCTCCTATATAGTACATAACATATAGAATATGTAGGATATACTCGAGATATTTTTATATATTCTATATCTGTTCCTATAGTATATATTCGATATATTTCTCATTTTCTCTATATTTGCACACATTATAGTAACAAAATAAACTCCAATTCTATTATTTTTTAGTATTTCTCCCCATAATATATGGCGAGAATTAATATAATATAATATAATATAATATAATATAATATAATATAATATAATATAATATAATATAATATAATATAATATAATATAATATAATATAATATAATATAATAGTATAGTATAGTATAGTATAGTATAGTATAGTATAGTATAGTATAGTATAGTATATAACAGTATAGTATATAATAGTATAGTATATAATATAATATAATATTATATTATATTATATTATATTATATTATATTATAGTATAGTATAGTATAGTATAGTATAGTATAGTATAGTATATTATAGTATATAATGTAATAGTATATAATAGTATATAATAGTATATAGTATATAATACTTTCATAGATATATATTTTTTAAAAAAAATGTCTCTATATTTGCACCCATTATATTAACAAAATAAACGGAAATTCTGTAATTTTATGTAATTTCTCCCCATAATGTACTATACAATATATAGTGTATAATATTTTCACATATATATATTTTTTCATTTTTCTCTATATTTGCACCCATTACATTAACAAAATAAAATCAAATTCTATAAATTTTTTATCATTTCTCCCCATAATGTACTATATAATATATAGTATATAATACTTTCATATATATATTTTAAAAAAAATTCTCTATATTTGCACCCATTATATTAACAAAATAAACTGAAATTCTACAATTTTTTATCATTTCATATGTATTTTTTCCATTTTTCTCTATATTTGCACCCATTACATTAACAAAATAAACTCAAAATCTATAATTTTTTATCGTTTCTCTTCATAATATATATAATATAATATAATATAATATAATATAATATAATATAATATAATATAATATAATATAATATAATATAATATAATATAATATAATAATTATTATTATTTTAGTAATAATTTTAGTAATATTAAATATTATATTTTTTCATTTTTCTCTCTCTTTGCACCCATTACATTAACAAAATAAACTAAAATTCTATATTTTTTCATTTCTCCCCATAATGTCTTATATAATATATAATATTATATATTTATATAATATTAATAACAATAATAACAAATAATAGCAACATTATAATTTTTTTTCATTTTTATCTATCTTTACACCCATTTTCTGAACAAAACAAAGTGGAATTCTGCATTTCTGATCATTTCCCCACACCTTGTACTCCTCGTGCCTGATGTAGGTGCAGCCGGTGCTCAGACACTCCTCGAGGGCCACGCAGCGCTTGGTGACAGAGACGCTCTCCCCGCTGGCCTTCATCATGTGCTGGCTGAAGCAGTACCTCGTCCCTAAAAAACATGGAAAAACTTTATTTTCCCAATTCCCTGAGAGTCCAGCAGCAGGACAAATGGGGAAAAAATCTTGGATGTTTTTTCAAATTATGAGATTTTTAAAAAAAATACAAAATTTTGATGTATTTATTGCACATCATGTGCTGGCTGAAGCAGTACCTCATCCCTAAAATGCCCCCCAAATATGCAGTTCTTTTATCTTTATTCTTATTTTTACTCAATTAACTATAGGCACGTAAATTATTTTTCTCAGTGACCCAATGACCCAACACCTGTGTGCTGCTTTGTATTCTCCATCCAATCACCTGCTACCCAAAAACCTCTGGAGGAAGAAGAAGATGAAGAAGAAAGAAGAAGGACAAGAGACAACACCCTAAACCCTCCATCTTCTGTTTTCTAAACTAGCTTAAACTCTAAATTTTAACTTTTTCCAACCAGTGACTTAAGAAAACTCTCTAATCTACACACTTACACTTTTAGTTTTTCTGTTTAACAGTTGTTTTCATGGTGTTATATGAAATTCAGTGTTTTCTTGGATGTCAGAGCCAGGTATCAGAGACAAGGACACACTCTGTGCCTCTGACTCCAGCACTGGATCCCTGGAAGTGTCCAAGGCCAGGCTGGATGAGCTTGAAGCACTCTGGGATAATGGAATGTGTCCTTGCCCATGGAATGGGGTGAGCTTTAATGTCCTTTCCAACCCAAAACAGTCTGGGATTCTAGGAAAGCAACACCAGCCTGATTTCATCCCCAGCTGAGCCAGAGGGAAACAGCGAACAGCTCAAAGTCCTCAACCTCATCCACTGCAAGGAGACAGAAAAGGATTAACTCCAGAATCTCATATTCCACATTTCTGGGAATAACAGGGCCCTGGCAGGGACAGGTGGGTTGGGATGGAACCCTGGGATGGGGCTGGTTACCTCTGGGGCAGTAAACATCCGGAGCCCAGCGGTTGCACTCGTAATTATCGGAGGCCTTTTCGCAGGTGAAACACTTAAATCCACGAGGATACGGAGTGGCTGAAAGGAATGGGAAACATGGAGTTAAAAGGGATGGATAATGGAGTTCAAATGGCCAAATTCATCTGGTTCTGTGCTGCTTTTCAGGAGGAAACAGCAACATTTTTTCCTCTTTAGATCCAAATTTCTCCAAATTTTCCTGTCAGTGCCAGCGGGTTGGTTCTGATTTGTAAATCCCCATCCCCCACTGCAGGAGAGGCACATTGAGGTCCCTGTGGACTCGTTTAACCCAGCCAAAATGACCAGTTCTGACTTCAAAGGGAGCTGGGAATGCTCATTCCCTTGGAATCAGAGCTCACATCCAACACCGCGGCTTTATCGGCGCTGATAACAAAATATCAGGTGGATTTAAACACTCTGGGAACTGCCCCAGCGAGGGAAAGAGCTGCTCCTGCTGAAGGCAGGCTCACGGCCCCAAAGGGAACAAAACCACTTGGCTGAACCTCCAGCCTCTGTCCTAATTTATCTCAGGGCTAATTCCTTAATTGCTCTCCTGGCAGCACTTCTGGGGCACTCTCAACCCATCCTCAAGGTGCTGCCACTTTCTCAGAAGCCAAATGGTGGTGAACAGGTCACATTTCTGAGTAAATTGAACCTCTACAGCTCCAAGGGCCATATCTTGACCCTCCCTCCTCATCCCCTCCTCCCCTTGCTCTGGGCCAGATCCTTTTTGGGAACCAGAGGTGAAGCAAGAGGGTTTCATTGCTTGTTTCCTTTTTTTTACAGAACGAGAAATCACCCAGGAGCAACTCTGGTGGGGCTGAGGCTGGGACAACACAATAATTAAATTAATCCCTCTCACCCTGCACCTCTGGCAGATCACAGTTATGATCCAAACCAGGGATTTCATCCTGCTTGCACAGGAATATAAATCTTACAGCCTATGAAGCAGTGAGTTTCTGTGGGAAGAGAAGGCAGGGACAGCTCCCAATCCCTGTTCCCATGGAATTCAGCAATTTTGTGTCTGATATAGGGAACAGACTGGTGAGGGTCTAGGGAAGATCTAAAGATACACAACTCCATTGCTGCAGGAGTTACTGGAGTCAAGGCAGGAGCTGTTGGTGCCTCAGCAGCTGCCTGTAGCCCCATGTGTCCTTTAAACTCTTTTTGATCCAGTTTTACACAGAATCATGGGATGGTTTGTGCTGGGAGGGACCTTAGAGCCCGTGTCCCATGGGCACCTCCCACAAAAAAATTGGGATTTCTTCCACATCAGCTCGGCCCTACGAGAGTGGGGGACTGTAGAAACCAAAACCCTCCCAAAGCAAACAATTCCATGATCCCAGGTAAAACCAGGTTGAAGGCAGAGCCAAAAGCAAACCAACATAGCTGTGGCTCAAGAAGAAGTGGGAAAATTGAAAACTGAAAATATTCCAGCGGCCTCTGAGGACCATGGAAACGATGACTGGAAGTGGCTTTTGGGTTGGGCTCCTGGGAGAATTTGAGTGCAAACCCATGAGCTCAAGGCTCAGGAGGCAAGTGGTGTTTCCCTTGTCCCTGTCCCAGGGTGGAGGTCACTTACTGGAGGGGTGGAGGTAGACGATGTCCTTGGCGGTGAAGTCGCGGCTCCGCGCGGCCGGAGCGCGGCCGGACAGCAGCAGGAGCAGCAGGAGCAGCCCCGGCGGCCAGGCCATGGCCCGGCCAGGCCCTGCTCATGCAGCGGCCGAGAATCCCCACCTGGGCAGAGGCACAGAATTCCAGAGTTAACCGGGCTGGAAAAGACCTCCAAGACCATGGAGTGCAAGGCAGGACCAATGCCCCCTCGTCACCCATGCCACGGCACTGAGGGCCTCATCCAGGCTTTCCTTAAATACCTCCAGGGATGGTGAATCCAGCACCTCCCTGGGCAGCCATTCCCATGCCCAATCCCTCTTTCCATGAGGAAATGGCAGAGAGCAGGGACAAACAGAGCAACCCCACAAGGACCTGGCCACCACCTCATCCCCACGACCCAACCCCAGAGCCTCCCTCTCCTGTGGTTATTTTGGCATCGACAGCCCTGGAAAAGACTTGGACAAAGGATCTCCCTGGATTTCCAGTGCAGTGGGAAGTTGGCTGGTCCCACAGATTCTGCTGACTCCTCATCTTCACCTTCCTCCTGACTCCTCCTCGCTGGCTGGGCCCCATCTCCATGATCCTATGGGGATGACTTTACCTTGGCACTTCCTCTTGGAAAAGCCTCCATCCCAAAAAAACTCACCATTGGATTTTCCTCATCCATGCTCCAAAGGGATTTATTCCCTTTATGATGCCATTAAAAATCAATTATTTTTCCAATGTCTCTGATTGATAGGAACTAATTTAAGCAGAACCAATTAACCGCTGTGGCCAATACATCATTAAATAAACAACTCAGATTATTATAAACCCTTAAAAATCATGGAAGTGCCTCAAAAATCAAACAGGACAGGAAAATCCTGAAAGGATGAGGCTGCTGAGCCCGACATGAGCTGATGATTTCCTTTGGAATCCATCCAGAACACACAGGGTTGGGATGAGTTTTTACACCCTGATCCACCAGGAGATCTGCAACACCCAGATAACTCCTAAGCAGCTCTGAGTATTTGGTGGTTATTATCCAATAAATTTTATTTTGTTGAGGTTTTTTTTTTTTAGGAAAGAAATTACAGGGTTGGGGATGTCACTTCCAAATGTTTGTCCCACAGCAGAAATCCACCCAGCACCAGCAGCACAAAGGTTGTCATTGTCCCTCCTGTTATCTGCAAACATTTTTTATTAAAACACAGTGAAATCCATAAAAAAATCCATAAATAATATGAGGAAAAAAGATAGCGTACAGCTCGGTGCTTTAAACTTTGTTGCTTTAACCTTATGAAGAGAGAATTTTGGATTTACTCCATAGATCCCTCTCAGCCAGGGGAGAATGAAATCCTGATTAGAAGCAGACAGGAAGCAAAACAAACCTCTCCCAACCATATGGAAGATGAAAGAAGCAGGTCCGTGTGGGATCTGGAGGGAGAATTTGGGAATATTTTTTTTATCCCAAAAAACACCAGGAAGGTTTTATAAGCCCCGCTCTTCATTTGAAGACATCAGCAGTTTGCAGTGAGACCTTCAGGAGCAAAAAGGAGGATTTTATCCTGAGCTACAGCACTAAAAAATGAGGATTCACATCCCAAAAAGAGGAGCTCAACTCCAACTCTCATCAGCAGCCTGTGATTAACAAATTATCAAGGGACAAACAGTTATGGGATCATTAAGGCTGGAAAAGACCTCCAATATCATCAAATCCAACCATTATAGCCATATTACAAGTTAAAATACAGCAAGGTTGAAATAACGGCAGGAATTTCCTCCCAAAGAGACAAGAATTTGTTGGGTTTGCCCATCAGAAGCACAAAAAGCTTTTTGTTTTTGCAGAGCTGATCAAAGCCTTGCAGATGAGGACGTTGGTTTTCCCAGTGTCCCTTTTGTGGGACTGACTGCTCTCCAAATCCCGTGTGGCAGCACTCAGGCATCAGTTTGGAAAAGTGGCTGTTAGAGCTGCCTGAAAGGGTGTCAGAATTCCCCCAGCTGCTCCCTAAAAATATTCACATCCTTCCTCTTGTAATTGCAAAGGTTTTAATTGCCAGCTTCTAATGAGTTTCAAGAAACCATGAACAGAGAGAGGATTCACTCCCCCACCTTTGTTTTCTGCTTGAAACAGGTTTAATTACAGGCAAAGAATTACAATTTTGAAATCTTCTGCATTAGAAAATTGTCCAGAGCAAGGCAAGCAGGGCCAAAATTTTAAGCTGTGGAATTTAGGGAAGTAGGAAGTGTTTATTGAGCAAACACCTGCCACCATCATTGTCACCATTTGTCACCATGAGCACATTTCCACCTGCTCATTCCATACTCACAGGTAGGGTAAAACCAGGAATTTCTGCAAACACAGAAATACTCTGTGCCAGAAACCCAAATATTTAATATCCCATGAATATTTTGAGTGTGAACACAGGGGTACACATCGTTCTGTCTTCTGTGGGGCGCAAATACTCAGTGATGTTTAAGGTAATGATATTCCACAGAGTGGAGTGGCAAAAAATATTTTGAATTAAAGTAATATTAAACACTTAAGAACTCAATATCCAATAATTATATATTAAATATTCAATTAATTCTATATTAATTTGGAGTTTAGCACACTCGTTTTCTCTGGTGTTACACTCACACATAAAAATAAAATGTAAGGAAGGAGATATAAATATAGATCTATAGATATGGATGCACTGTCTTAAAACCTGCAGACATTTGATAAAAAAAATTTGGTTTGGTTCCCAAAATCCTACAAAATTCTAATTTTTTGCAGTGGTGGATTCTCTTCAGGAACCCTACAAGCCCTAAGAAGCTTCACCAAGGGCGCAAAGGGTTTTTCATTCACTCCCAAGCCCCTTTTAGCCCACGACTTTCAGCCAAGACAGCCAAACTTCGTACAAAACTTTTATTTCCAAGAATTATTGGTGGTGTACCAGCTCCCCCAGGGCTAAACCCCTGCTGGCAGAGCAAATACAAGGCACAGGTGGATATTTTTTCCCTCAGAATTCCCCCGGTTCCTCACACGGAGCCGAGCGCTCATCCCAACCTAATGGAAGCTGGCGCGGCGCTCTCGGGACGCGGTGGCGGCGGGGGGACACAGTCACACGGCATTTGGATCATGCAGTCTGTTTGTGAGAGGTCCTGGGCACTGACACAGAAATCCCCCTTAACTCAATCTTCCCAGCTCCAGCGGCACCTCGGAGGCGGGAAGGCCGTTCCCGTTCCCGCTCCGCAGCGGGATGACTCCGGCCTGCCCTTTGCCCCGCCACGGTGGAAATGAACCATTGGAGGCCCTGAGCTGCAGCCCAGTGGCCCATTTGTCAGGTCTCATTAAGGAGGGGACATCTCATCCTGGTTGGCACCAGCGCTGGGGACAATGGAAGGTCCCAATCCTCCCGGGAAGGGCCAGAGAGGAGGCCGGATATCAGAGCTCTGGTTTTAAAGTGTTGATGGAGGGGACGGTTATTTTTAAGGATGGATTTGTCCCTTCTGTCCTCCTCAAGCTCAGCTGGCTGACCATGATCAAACCCACCAGCTGGGCCAGCTGCAAGTTTGCAGTGAAAACACCATTCCAGGAGGGGGAAAAAAAAGCAGGATAAAAGGAGTCAGACACCAAATCTTCCCATACAAACCCACAGCCAAAGCCAGGCAGGAAGGGGTTCCTGATTCACGGATATTTCTGTGGTTCTCGTGCAAGTATGGAATAGGTTGTGGTGTTCAGGGCCCTTCACCTCGCTCCCGTGGCAGATGGAGCATTTCCCTGCTCTTCCTGGATTTCCAGCGCAGTGGGAATTGCCTGGTTGGTGGGAGGTTGATGATTCTCCCTCACAGGAGGTTGATGATTCTGCTGATACCTCATCTCAACCTTCCTCCTCCATCCCCTCCTCGCTGCCTGGGCCTCACCTCCAAGTTCCTACAAGGTTCCAACTAACTTCATCCTCACATTTCCTCTTATCCTTCCCCTCGGAAGGGCCTCCATCTCAGAGCTCCCTGAATCAACTCCTCCTTGAGTGAAATAAGCCAGCAGAAGCCAGGAAAAGTTCCCTCTCAGCAGGCAGGAGACTTTCTGAGCCCTAAAGCAGTGATCACAGCATGGCCAGGCAGCGCCATCTGTGAGAAACCGCCGAGGCCTCAGCACGAGCCGCCCGCTCCCGCGAATTCTGCTGTGCAGGGTCAGCTGTGCCATCTTTCCTCTGCCTTAGGATGATTATTCCTCAGTGGGAAACGAGTCCATGGGAACTCTGAGCAGTCTGACGAGGCTGGAAGAGATGTTCCTGGAAGCAGAGTCTTCCCTTCTCCAGGAATTCCGCCTCATGCACCTCCCTGCTGTGACTTTAGGAAATAACTCCGCAGATTTTCCTCCTGCCTTTCCTCCAGGTCACACAAAGGTACAGGCTATACTGTCCATTGCCAAATTTGGAATATTTGGATTAGTTTTCATCCCCTTCCAGCTTCCAAATCGAAGCCCAGCTCTCTGTGCCATCACTATCCAAAGACAAATGGGAATGGCGATGGAATGTTTTCCATCTGGCAGCTGTGCCAGATCCCAGACAACAATCCCAAGGACTATTTGCAACTTCTCCAGCTCTAATTGCCTTTTTCCCCTTCTCCTTTATCCTGCTCAACCTTTTTGTGTCTATTCTATTTATTTCTTTTAGTTCCCACCACACACGTAAAAATGTTATGAAAAAAACCCCTGGAATTCTTATGCATTGCCTCCAAATCCAGATTTTTTTTCCACGTGCCATTTAGGGGATTTTATTGTCTGTTTCACCCCAGGAATGGTTAAATGTGCATTCCCCTCCCCATAAAATGGCACGTAGTGAAGCTCTTGTATCCAAAGAACCTCTCGGAGCTCTTGCAGAGGGGTTCACTGCCTCTCCTCAATTGCAGTGAGCAAGAGTAATTAAACAATCAAACACAATTAGTGCACTAATTACTCCCAGGAACGTGGCCCATCTAATCGCCTTGCTGCTAATTACAAAGCCTGGAGTTCATTGAGCTAAAAGCCCCGGACCTGGGGAAGTGAAGGGGGGGACAATATGTTCCCTCTCACGCCGCCTTCCCTCGGATGCAATTTAATCTTTCACAGGATGTGATTCCAAGGTTATTTTACAGCCAGCACTTGGCTGCTATTT